TAATAATAATAATAATAATAATAATAATTATATTACTCCACCTCTAAACAAATTACATTTTTAACACCAAATGTATTGTTTAGGAACTCCTTCCTCCATGTAAGAGGGATACCCCAACAAATCTCCCCCTCACTTCTACATGGGGGGTAAAACTCAATGATGATAAATATCATACAAACCTTTCACAACCAACTGCGCCAAGTCAATAGGTTGTGAGCAACGCTCTCTTCTCTTCAACTTGAACACCCGATGGCTCTTGGGTGCTCGTTGGCTTCCATGCAACTTTACCAGGGAATGAACACGTCCATCAAGCAAGGATATAACCCCATCTCGCTTGGCTTGAACCCACTCTTGTCGGTGCACCTTCTTCACTTCTTCCCAGTAGCAATCTCTCTCAAATATACCAATTTGAGGAACCCTCTGTGGCGGAACTCCATGCTCGGAATGAGGTGGCTCAAGTACATCACCATCACGAGTAACATCATCACCACAACATTTTTCTCCTTCTTCTCCCCCATGATCTGAATGTATGGAAAGAGAAGGAATATCACCTTCAGGGAGGATATTCTGACAACTCTCAAGCATGTGACCAAGCCTCTCGTGCGATAAATCCGTGGAGGGCGCAGTGTTCTGATCTCCTCTGCACATCTTTGCTTGCATCACGTAAATCCTGTTCTCTATCTTACCTCAGGCCACGATCAAAGAACCTTTGGTGAGCTTCCACTTTCCTTCACCAAAGCGGTTAGCATAACCATCTCCATCAAGTCCTCCAGCTGAAATGAGGCTGAACCGAAACTCTGGTACATGTCTGACATCTCTGAGGATCAACCTGCAACCAGTGTTAGTCTGCAAACAAACAGTGCCCATCCCAACAATCTTAGATGATTTGTCAGCACCCTTCCCCATCTTGACATAGCCAAAGTCACAGCTAGTGTAAGATGAGAAGAACTCCCGATGAGGTGTGAGATGACAAGAGGCACCTGAATCAATGATCCAAGTACAATCCTGAAAAACAACATCAAAGTTAGTGTCATCACACACGAAAAATAAATCATCCGCATCTGCAAGGGCTGCTGTGTCTTTCTCCTCTTTCTTCTCAGAAGTCTGACCTTTTTCCTCTTTCTGCTGGGCTTTATCTCGCTTCATCTTTCTGCACTGAGATATCTTATGGCCCGGTTTATCACAATAGAAGCATTTTACTTCGCTTCTTGATTTAGATCTCCCCCTGGATTCAAACTCCCTATGTCTGTGTCTTCCACGACTCTCTACCTCAGCAACATGAGCCTGATCTGAATAGCTGGAGGAACTCAGATCTCTTCTCCTAGCTTCTTCATTCAGCAGACTCGACTTCACAACATCCATTGTGAGCTTACCCTCTGGAGCAGAGTTGCTAAGTGATACAACCAAGGTCTCCCAGCTTTCTGGCAACGAGCTGAGGAGCAACAACGCCTGCAATTCATCATCTAAAACCAATTTCATTGAAGATAATTGGTTAATCAATCCCTGAAAATCATTCAAATGCTCTACCACGCTATGCCCATCCCTGTAATCAAGTTTCACAAGTCTTCTCATAATAGAGGCTTTATTCAGGGCATTTTCTCTCTCGTACATGCATTTGAGTTTCTCCCACAGTTCATAGGCGTTGGNGTGAGAAATCCCCAATAAAAACGCAGCAGTAAAAAGAGGCAATTTTACCGACATCGAGAGGTCAAAACAACAATCCCACCGTTGGATATGAAGAAGAGGATCTCAAGAACAACATACTAAAATTTCATCCCGATCGGAGCTCGTTTGGTCGTCGATCGGAGCACAAAACCAGGCTGCACCTCTCTTTTTCTCTCTTCTTCCTTCTCTCGGTTTTACTCTTTTTTCTTCTCTGTTTTTCTGCTGTTTTTTCTTCTGCTCGTGAGTCGTGACCAGCCACAAAAGGCTTTTGCCTTTTCTACAAAGTGGCAGCCCCAAAGGTAAGTGGTAGCCCCCACCACTTTGACCCATTTCTTTCTTTATAACAATAATAATAATAATAATAATAATAATAATAATATTACTCCACCTCTAAACAAATTACATTTTTAACACCAAATGTATTGTTTAGGAACTCCTTCCTCCATGTAGGAGGGATACCCCAACATTATGTTGCATGGAAGAATTCACACAGTCATAATTTATGTATTTTAATTTTTACATCTCTTTCATTTAAAATGATTTGGAAATAAATTGAGCCGTAATATGAAAACCAAAATAGGAAGGAGTAATTTATTAAATGTTTTTGAGTCTCTCTTCCTCGGAAAATAGGCTCCCTTTTTTTAAATTTCCAATATTATAATGAGTACAATTAAAATATTGTTTTATATATAATTATATTATGCTTCAAAATGTAATTATTAATTTGATTTTACCAAATATATCCCGGAAAGTTAATAATATGCATCGTAATTTTAGGACTTAATTAGTAAAGAATAAATATTTAAAATGCATTTTATAGTCCAATAAATGAATTTTATCCAATGTAGAGTTCACTTTAAGTTGGTGTTGTTTCCAGAAAACGGGATCCATATGCATGTAAATGTTTAAATAACATCATTAATTGTTATTTTCCCTTGAGCATAAACAACACATTGGAAGGACAAAAAATGCTCAGTGCATTGCAAAACAAAATCCCACAAGATCTGAAATTAGTCAAGAGAAAGCAATGGAATATGTCGATTTCAGGCCACTCGGCGAATTGCATAATACAAGTACATGTTACAATCGTAATTGATGGTGTAAATTACCGTGCAAATACTAAGTCTAAGTGATCGGAAGGGTTGTAGGTGGAAACACCTGTAACCCGGTTTGTTATTAATGATAATAGGAGTATTACAAAGTACAAGCCGTTTAGGTTAATTAAAGCATGCCTCACAAATGAGGTTTTTAGTCCTATTTATAATAAAGAATAAGCACGTCAAGCACGTCCCGACGTTACTATTCTTCCGGCCGGTCAGTTTTCAAGTCATCCACCCGGGCAGTCTTCAAGTCATCCACCCGGGCAATCTTCAAGCCATCCACTCGGGCAGTCTTCAAGCCATCCACCCGGGCAATTTTCAAGCCATCCACCCGGGCAGTCTTCAAGCCATCCAGTCTTCAAGCCATCCACACGGGCAGTCTTCAACACATCCACCCGGGCAGATTAACGGGGACGGTGAGGTCAAGCCTTGTCAGACTTTAAGCCTTATGCCAATGAAGTCACGATCTCACATGTCTGACCCCTGACATCCACCCGGTCAGTCTCCCGGGGTTGGTGAGGTCATGTGGGGCCAGCCTTCAGATCTCTCAGGCGCTTGTGACATCCACCCAGTCAGTCTCCCGGGGTTGTCAGGTGGGGCCAGAATTTGGTACCCCCGGGCGTCTGTGAACTTTTCGGGTGGTACTAGTGGATTATATCCATCAATAAGTCCTCCGATTCTCGGCTTTGTGGGCACCATCAAGTGCGGGAATCAAATGTCTGAATAATTTTGAATTTTGAATCCTCAGGTATGGTTGGCAGGAAAGTTTTTACAGAAATCTGGTACGCCGCCGCCTAGTTATCGCATCGTTTCCTCTTCCGGATCGGGCAGGAGTGGGCCACCCGGCTAGTCAGTTCCTAGACAGATGAGAAGCTCTGGATGGAGGCCATGATGGTCGCTGCCCGGAAGGATGCAAAGGCAGCCTGGTTGGTGTCCGAGAAAATGAAGGAGAAGCCGGTCGAACAGGCCGAAGCCTACCGGGGTCTCTTTGTCAAGCACGAGGGCTTGCTCAAGTTCGCCAAGGAGTCGGATGAGCGGGCTAAGCGGAAGATCACCGAGTTGGCGGAGTAGGCCGGGCGGTCCTCGAGCTGCATCTACCCGGTCTAACGCATCTCACCATTCTTTCTGAAAAAGAAAAGTGCTTCGCCCGAGAAAAGATGGACCTGGCCCATGTGACCGGTTTTGGCTTTCTACCCGAGTAGAAAATAAGCCACTCGGGTGGGGTTTTGTCAGAGCATGCCCGGGCTATGCTTCAAAGTTGATCATGTGAGTCATTTCTTCCTTCACCCGGGTGAATAAGAGCTCTAGTCCTCCAAGTGAGCAAGGCAATCAATTCTTTCCATTCAAGGCCTCGGTCATGCAAACGGGGGAACATATTTTTGAAAAAGTCCTCCGAGCCAAGTTAGACAAATCCATTGTGACCCCGTCACTCACCCGAGTCTGAATCTTGATCGGCTGGGCAGTTTTGTTTTTTATTTGTCCTAGGTAGGTTGTTCACCCTGACTTTGCCCAGGTGAAAAGTGTTCAGGGAAAGATATCGAAGATCGAGGTAGGCCCGATGTTCCAAGTCCGACCGGGCTCTCTTTTTCTTGCTGAAACCGATGTGCAACCGGTGTACCCAATTCGCTTGGGCTCAGGCTTGTTAGAAAATATGTGTCATACTAGTGTGAGACCAGTGTACCAGTTCGACTAGGTCACATATTTTCTTTATTTTTTATTTATACTGCACAAGACCGGTGTGAGACCAGTGTACCGGTTCGACTGGGTCGCAGTTTTTTTAATATGTGCAAGACTGGTGTGAGACCAGCGTACCAGGCCGGGCCTGTGTCACATACTTTTATCTTCCTTTTTTTTAGTTCAATTCGATTGAAGTATGGTGTTCTGCCCACGTGGTGTTGTAATGCTCAATCCGATTGAACATTGACCGGGAGAACGGGTTTGCAATCTTCCCCGACCGGTCTTACCATCTTTTCTGGAAAAGTATGGCATCCCGCCCGGGCAGAGATAGATCTCCCCGGGTGGTTTCGACGCGAGTGAGAATGTTCCACCATCTTTGCTGAAAAAGTATGGTGTCCCGCCAGGGCAGAGATGGATCTTCCCGGGTGGTTTTGATCCGTCTGATTCGTTTGGCTTTCTACCCGAGTAAAAAATAAGCAATGTTTTTCTCGTTTAACTTGACCAAGCCAGATGCTCTCCTTTTTTTGGTCGCGTCATTCGAGACCGTGTCGATACGGTTTATTAGTTTGACCAGGCCGGCTGGTTTCTTTTTTTTGCTGAAACCGATGTGTAACCGGTGTACCCAATTCGATTGGGCTCAGGCTTGTTGGAAAATATGTGCAAGACCGGTGTGAAACCAGTGTACTAGTTCGACTGGGTCACATATTTTCTTTGTTTTGTTTTTTTTGAAATGCTCAATTCGATTGAACATTGACCGGGCGGATGGGTCTGTAACCTCTCCGACCGGTTTTGCGAGTAGTCTTTTCAGAAAAAGATCAACTTTATTTAACATTAGCATGGTACATATCCGGTCTTAGCGGATGATAAAATGGTTGTTCAACACCACTTTCTTCTTTTCCTCTCGACGAACTCTCTTTAAGAGCCTCTCCAAATGTGCTTCCTCTCCGTCCACCCGGTCGTTGGGTGGTTCAGTATGCATGCACGTCCCCAGTTTGGGCTGGCTCTCCGCATGGTCTTCCGCTCCAAACACCCAGCTATGTTGGGGCACATCACGGGGACGAGGTTCGAAGCGCCTGGTCTGACCGGGTTGCCTGTTACCTCCCAGTCTGTCGAACGCGCTTGGCTGGGGGATCTCCACCCCCAACCGCTCCTTGACCGGTCGGTTCTGGTTCCGTCCTTCTTTGCCGTGTAGACCCCTGGAAATATCCGAGTTTTCGCCCCTGCTGTATACAGAGTGCTCGTCCGCGTCGGGTGTGATCTGAGTGGGGATTTTGTGGGATCTGCTCCTTCTGAACCGGGAAGGACCTGCCCTTTCCCGCTCCGTGGCCAGATTTATCGGGATGACTGGCCGGGTGGTACTGACCGGTTGGTTCGGCGGGGGGTGCCCCAGCGGGTTGAGAGATGTATTTTGGGCCAGAGCATGGGGGTACATCCCAGGGATGAAAAAAGTAAATCCCCCGGGTTGTTGGAACATGGGCATAAATTCTCCAAAGTTTTGGAGGGCTTGACCCGGCGCTGTTTGAGTAGTGAAGGTGGTGATCATGGGGGAGAAAAGCGAAGGTAATGATGTAATTCCTCCCGGGATTAGGGTAACACCCTCCGCCGGGGTGGAAATTTGGGCAATGATGGATTCCATATTGTTGTTCATCATGGCTTCTTTTTGTAAAGAGGTCCCACGGTCGGCGCCAATTTGATTGTGTAAATTACCGTGCAAAACTAAGTTTAAGTGATCGGAAGGGTTGAAGGTGGAAACACCTGTAACCCGGTTTGTTATTAATGATAATAGGAGTATTACAAAGTACAAGTCGTGCATGTTAAATAAAGTGTGCCTCACAAATGAGGTTTTTAGTCCTATTTATAATAAAGAAAAAGCACGTCAAGCACGTCCCGACGTTACTATTCTTCCGGCCAGTCAGTCTTCAAGTCATCTGTTGGCCTTGAATGCCGTACCCCGTAACCATTTTGATGTGCCAAATAAGTCTTCCAAATGTTACTAACATCATTTGCAGAAAGAAAACAAGCGCCAAACCTCTATTAGCTTGTTTAGCATCATCGAGAAATACTCCTACGAGTTTAGAAATTATTGTGTAAAGGTAATGATATACTTTAATGATTTACTTATGCCCTTTCACTCAAAAATTATTTTTAAAATATCAAATATATTCTTAGTTGGGGTTATTTTGAAAACGGAACACGAAAAACGAGTTTTTGGAAAATTTACACAGGTCTAACAGTACCTGGCTACCGTGTACCCGGCACTAGGGTACCGCCGGTAGCCAAGTGAACGTACCGTTGTACGTTTCAACCAAGTGTTACACGGTACCCGGGTACCGGACGGTAGGCAGAGACGGTTGGCCACCCCCGTCATAACCAGGTACCGCCAGAGGCGAACAAATCTTTTGGCTTACACGGTACCCCCAAATGGTAGGCCATACCACGGGTCACGGTACCTGGGTACCGGACGGTACTGACCCTACCGTGAAGGGTACCGGATCCGTTGTAATCACTGTAGCAAATTGTCAGTTTAAATTCAAATCACCCCTAATCACTTCCTAATGGCTTTTAACATTAAAAACTCAAATTTTAACATTCCAAACTCCTATATAAACCCCCTTTAAGTCTCATTTTATGAACAACAACTTCCCAATCAGATATAAAGCCTATTTCTCTATTCTTGAGTGTTCCTAAAGCTTTGTTTTTATTTTTCTTACTCTTTTGAGTAAAAGCTTTCATTATTACACTCACACACAAGGGCATTTATATTTCATTATTTTATATCTTGCCTATAGGCTTTTGTTGTTGTTGATTTAAATCTTTTGTTCTTCTCCTACCCAATTCACATTTGTTATTATTTTGGTAGAGAAGCAACACCAATCTTTTATTGATTTTTAAAAGGTGTGGATAGCCTTTAAATCCTCATTGTAAGGTTGAAAATAGGCTTAAAATCTTCGGTTGTAAACGGTTGAGATAGCCGTAGTAAAATCTCATTTGTTTATTGGCAAGGGTTGTTTGCCAAACCTCGTTTGAGTCTTCTTAGTGGAGCCAAACAAGTTAGTGGAGGTTAAATCCTTGAGGATGAGTCTCGAGGTACTGGAGTAGGGAGTTCCCGAACCAGTATAGAATCGCTTGTGTCGTATTTTTATCTTTTATATTTTTTTGCTCCTTTTCCGCTACTACTTTGCACATAAGTTTTTGTTTTTATGAAAAACTTGCAAACACCTTAATTCACCCCCCTCTTAGGGTGTAAACCGACTTTCATCATCCACCCGGGCAGTCTTCAAGTCATCCACCCGGGCAGTCTTCAAGCCATCCACCCGGGCAGTCTTCAAGCCATCCAGTCTTCAAGCCATCCACACGGGCAGTCTTCAACCCATCCACCCGGGCAGATTAACGGGGACGGTGAGTTCAAGGCTAGTCAGACTTTAAGCCTTATGCGAATGAAGTCACGATCTCACATGTCTGACCCCTGACATCTACCCGGTCAGTCTACCGGGGTTGGTGAGGTCATGTTGGGTCAGCCTTCGGATCTCTCGGGCGCTTGTGACATCCACCCGGTCAGTCTCCCGGGGTTATTAGGCGGGTCCAGAATTTGGTACCCCCGGGCGTCTGTGAACTTGTCGGGTGGTACTAGTGGATTATATCCATCAATAATCAACATATCATGTTGTTATTATAAATAATCAACATATCCTTTTCTTATATATATATATATATATATATATATATATATATATATATATATATATATATATATATATATATATAGTGTGTGTGTGTGTATATATATATATATATATATATATATATATAATGTTAAAATTTGATTTTGGTTGTAGTTCACGCCCGTAAAACAAAGCCAACATTCACATTGATACATTGCAAACGGTTAGTTCAATATAGATTACTTTTTATAAGTATTTCATATATAAAAATTGGTAAATGACATTTATTTAAAATATACACTCTTATAATCTATGAATATATAAAATGTTATATGATGTTCTGATTTAAGTGATTGTATCTGACAACGAACAACAGAGAAGAAGTCAAAACCTTCAAATTTGATCGCGTTTAACATGCGATTAGACTTGGTAATCGTCCATTGAAGCAAAAATGATTCACGAAAAATTGCAAGACAAACTGTTTTGATCCCGCAAGTTCCATTGACTCCTACAGATACCAAATTGTCTTTTAAGTTTTAAAGAAGACAATTTCCGATTATGGTATCATGCAATGACCAAAAATAAAAGACAGGGACAATCTCTCTCTCATATTGGCCTATTTTTGAAAAAAAAATAATTCAGTCACGAACAAGTATATGTAGCCATGTCTAGGATGCGCTCTTGGGAGGGATTAAAAATAATGATATGTAATTCTGAAAATATTTTATCTAACACTACAATGAATGTAGCTTATAAGGCAATTTTTTGGGAATGTATGATTGATGTTAATGTACATAGTTTGGTGTTCTTCACTCAAATATGATGTATTGAATATAGCACCCTCTAAAATTCACTCTTTTATGTTTGTATGTCTATTTAAAATTAAACCAATAATAAGATATATAAATGGAAGACGGACATATCTACTATTTATAAAGTAATATCCATTTATAATATTTTACATGTTTTTCGAAATAGAATATATTTTTTTTCTTTTCGTGCATTGCACTGGTAATGCACTAGTTGTAAATATAAAGACTAAGCTCATGCAGTCATGCTCAAGATTCGTTCTTTCACAATTACTAAGGCCCCGTTTGGTACATGGAATTCAAACCATGGAATTGGAATTGAAAACTTCAATTCTAATTCTGGTGTTTGGTAGCACAAAAATTATGTGGATTTGGAATTGATAGTGCAAAAAATGAATTGAAATTGGCAGAATTCAATTCTATGGAATTGAATCTCATAAAATTTCAATTCCAATTCAATTCCAATTCCATCAATTCCGTATACGAAACGAACCTAAAAGTATTTAGATACATTTCAACTCAGCTCAATATCTTCTCTTTGTCAAAATCACAAACAGGTCACGGGGAGTGAATCTTCTACTTGTAAATAAAATTCAATTTATTTTCTCTCATTGGCTTATTCTGAAATTGTGAAAGGATTTTTTAGGGCTCTTTCTTTTACCGGAGTGGTAAACTTTCATTTGNTTTGTGATATCAGCCGGTTTCCTCTCTCAACTGTCCGTCCCACCACGCCTTTCTCATCACGACGCCCAGTAGCAAAATCCACGCCTATCGCCTTTCTTCCGCATATTCTTCTCTTTTTTTTGAAGGCGGGGTCAAGCACTCTTTCCAGTTTCCACACACCCGGAGCCCTTTTTTCCCCATTCTTACATATTTATATCTGACCAACTGTATATGCTCCTGCCCGGCAGGAAGGTAGTCTATTAAATTTTCACGGATTCTGGTTTTGATTGATTCTTATGTTCCATTCTCAGAATTCGTTGGTTTTGATTCTTTTTATTACTGGTCCAGAGAACAAACAAACTAATTTTGAGAATGGGAATCGAGTGAATCTAACCTAAATAGAAACATAAACCAATTAAAATGAGCCCCAAACAATGTTCCAAGAAATTCTTTTGCATTTCCACGGCGGCCGTTCTTTCCTTCGCCGTCCTCATCTCCCTCATCCTCCTTTTCGCCCTTAGACCCACCTCCCATCACCACCAGGCGTCGGAATCTGGCATCGTCCCCTCCGGTTTGCCTCCCTCCGTCCGTAATGCTTGCAAGTTCTCGAATGACACAGCAGCTTGCGAATATGCAATCGCTAGCTCCGGGCAGTTGCCCAAGGACCCGACGGCGCTGCAGATCATCGAGGCCGTCGTTGGCGTATCTTCCAAAAACCTCACGACGGCCAAATCCATGGTGGACGATATCTTGAAGGAGTCCGTGGGCAACCTGAACCGGTCAGTCACGGCCAAAACGTGTCTCGAAACGTTCGGATACGCGGAAAATCGGATGAGATCTGTGGAGAAAGCTCTCCGGGGTGGGGAGATCAAGGACGCCCGGGCGTGGATGAGCGCCGTCGTCGGGTACCAATACGGCTGCTGGTCGTCGCTCAAGCGCGTGAACGACACCGAGAAGGTGAACACCGCGATGGCGTTCATGTGGTCGCTCCTCGGACTGACCAGCGACGCGCTGGGCATGTTGGTGAACTACGACCGCATCGGGAATGAAACCGGGTCGTGGCGGCTGCCGGAAACAGAGCGTGACGGCTTCTGGGAGAAGGACGGCAGATCCGGGTCCGGGTCGGCAACCGGCGGAGGAGTTCCCAGTGGGTTGATCCCGAACGTGACGGTGTGCCTCCAAAAGAGCGGCTGCCACTACCAGAAAGTGCAGGACGCCGTGAACGCCGCGCCGGATTTCATCTCGGCGGGGAAGTTTGTGATTCAGATAAAGGCGGGAGTTTACGAGGAGATCGTTCGGGTGCCGTTTAATAAAACGAATGTGGTGTTTTTAGGGGAAGGCATGGGCAAAACTGTCATTACAGGAAACTTGAGTGTGGGTCTCCCTCCTTTCAACACCACATACCACTCCGCCACCGTTGGTAAGTCAATTACGAAGTATTAATCTAATAACTGCATATATACTTTGATTCGTATGGATAATGGTTTCCTTTTTTGCAATTACTTTAGGCTTCTTTTAGAATTTTAATTTTGGGTAAAGTTTTTGAATAGACCCTATGCTCTTATTGATAGAGAAATAAGTTGGTTCACCAAGAAAATCATCACAAATTTCACAAATTTTCAATAAAAAAAATGAAGAAGTCTAAAACAATTTTAAAATGAGAATTTACATGAAATTATAAATTTATAAAATGCTTCACAGTTTTGTTTGTGAACCCTGTTTTGATTAACATCAAAGTTTTATACTACGTAACCGAATGAAAATTTAATTTCATGTGTGATTCAGCTGTGGTAGGGGACGGATTCATGGCCAGGGATCTGACCATCCGAAACACCGCACCCGCCGGAGCTCACCAAGCCGTTGCCTTCCGATCAGACAGCGATCATTCCATTGTAGAAAGCTGCGAGTTCCTGGGCAACCAAGACACTCTCTGCGCCAACTCTCTTCGCCAGTACTACAAGTCCTGCCGCATCCAAGGCAACGTCGACTTCATCTTCGGGAGCGGGGCGGCCGTCTTCCATGACTGTCGAATATTCGTGACCCCCCGGCAGGAAGATCCGGAAAAGCCGGCGGACAATGCTGTGACGGCACACGGTAGGATTTACCCCGGCCAGTCGACCGGCTTTGTCTTTCAAAACTGCACCGTCAACGGGACCGAGGAGTACATGGAATTGTTCCGCAAGAGTCCGGATTCGTTCAACGCAACGTATCTGGGGAGGCCATGGAAGGAATACTCGAGGACGGTGTTTATACAGTGTACGCTGGAGGGTCTTGTTTCTCCGGCGGGGTGGATGCCGTGGGACGGGGAGTTTGCGTTGGAGACGATTTACTATGGGGAGTTAAATAATACTGGCGCCGGAGCTGGCACGGCGGAACGGGTGAAATGGAGTAGCCGGATTCCGGCAGAGCATGTCCACTCCTACTCTCTTGACAACTTCATTCAAGGTCATCTATGGATCCCATTATCTCAATGATTAAATTTGTGAAGAAAGCTTAGAGGCTTTTTTGGATGGTTTGTGTACTATATTGATGCTATGATTATTATCAATGGCATTTCATCATTTGGGGTTAATCAATTATATTTTGCACGGTAACTTGGCAAAACTGCCATTCTGGCAGATCTGTTTATGGTAAAACTATGGTAAAGAAACCACCAAAAGAGGTAAATTTATTCCTAAACCAATACATCACATGTGACATCCAGTGTGTACCGTAGAGGCACATTAAAGGTAATAAATTTGGCACTCCAAAACCACAATAGCAGACAAATTTTTCAATACAATCGTGATTCGATAAGCAACTTTTTTTTTCAATTATTGGAGTCTGAATGGTTCTTCTCCTCTTTGGGGGGTGCAAACTGCCTGCTGAGCCGGGACTTTGTCCAGGGATCCATGGCTGGTCTCTGTGGTGGCTGTGGTGTGGGTGGTTTTGATTGTCTAAGTTCATTTTCCCTGTCAATGAACCTGCCAATGGAAATTTGTCAAACAAAAACAAACATATAAGGCCCTGTTTGGGATGGTTGCCAATTTTCTGTCTTCAAAAACCAAGAACAGGGATAAAAAAAGGTTTTTACCAATTTAGCAGTGAGCACAAATTAAGTAAATGAGAGAGAGAGAGAGGTGTTCAAAAATCTCACTCAATATATGCCATAGGAGCAGCATCACCAACTCGAATTCGTGTTCTTAGCATTCTAGTATATCCACCAGCTCTATCTCTGCAAGTCAAAACCATTGAGATGTTACCAACACGGCAAAACACCAATGAAAATAAAGTAGAATAAAATGAGCATTGACTACAGTGAAGAATCTCGTATTCACTTGTATCTATATGCCAGTTCTGTAAATAGTTTGTGAAGAACATCATCACCACGCACAAAGCCAGCAGCCCGTCTCGCAGCGCATAGAGTTCCCTGAAAAGGTTCATGAAGGTTTTGGATTCATAGATACACAAAAAAATAAAAAGAACCTACACATTGTGGTGCATTCAGTTGGAGGCACTAGAGGGTTAGAGAACTACCAGACCAATAATCCCCCCTACAGGCTACAGAGTGGTTAGTGAGAGGTAGGGTATGCCGGTAAGGTAGGCAGTGGACGCTACCTATCATTGCGTTGTTTGGGTTTCAAAAAAAAAAGAAAGAGGTAGAACGAGTAAAGGAAGGAATCCACACCATGGTAAGGATTCTGCCAAAATGGAGAAACCCAAGCCGTGGTACGCTTCATCACAAATCTCAAGATTCATCATCCTCAAAATGCCCCTTCTTTGTTCCAACTCAATCTGCGCCTCTCGATCTCTGCAATTGCCACCTCTCAAAAAGGAAAACAAAGAGGATGGCTGAAGACAACAAGGACAGTGGCAGAAGAAGAAAACAGAGAACTGCAGAATAGGATAGCAGCGACCGAAGACGGAATAAGGTTGTGATGAGGACAAAACAAAAGTTGTTTTTTTTGTAAGTATTTTTATTTTCTTAATTTTAGGTCATTATAGTAAAACTGTGCTCTTACCTACATACTTGTAGTTTATTCAAACAACATTTTGGAATTACCTACCTCAAACATTAGCTATTGTTTGATACCTTCATTTACCTACCTAATAAAACTACCTCCACCTTCTTGCAAAGAAAGCCTTAACTTCATCTTAAGCTTGATCTTTGTGACCTATTAGAATCCAGATAGACAGATAGTTCGAGGGAATGACACAATATAAGCCTCATTAAAGAAAATGCTAAATTCAAGCATACTAGGATTCATGGTATCAAAAAATGATGTCCATATAAAAACAGAAGGAAAAAGACAAAAAATAGTGAATGTTTTTTACTTTATACTCCTATGTGGGAACATGCCCAATTTTTTTTTATTTTTTATATTTTACTTTTTGTTAAATGAGGTATGTAGCTTAGTAAAAAAATGTAGTTTTTTTTCTTCTTCTTTTTCCAGTGCCTACCACCTTTCACAGTCTTTTTTTGCGCTACACTCTTCTAACTCAACCCCAACTTGACTGCAGCATAAACAACTTTATTTTGTCTTCAGATTTCAGAAGCTGTGGTAACAAACTTCCTTTTGTTGTTTAATTTCAGTCTTGCTTAAATTATTTGTGAAACAATTTAGGGTTGTAATAGGTTAAAGTTAGTGTTTTTCTAATTTATCCCATGAATTTTTAGCATTTAATATATCTTTGTGTATGTTTGTGTTTTTGGTAATCATACCCCAAGTTTTCCAAAACTGCATACCCATTTATGCGGAACCGCGCAACATAGCATGTAACAGACTACCATCCCATGTCATATTATAGCAAACATTTCTACTAGAAACACTATAAATTGTTACTTTATGATGATATCTGAAACAATCAAGTGACGACATCGTACATACTGAAATTGATCGAGAGGGAATTGTTTTACATTGTAGCTAGAAACTTAAGCAGACAGGATTTAGAGAACTTGGTGGGATTTTGCCTGTTTGAAAGATCAGGCAATCAGCATAATTATTTTTTTTCTTTGAACAATAATGACTGAACTGCATTTTTTTTTCTTTTGCAATTAGTAGTAGATGAGGACATAGAGAAGAATGAAGAAACACCATGTATCAAAATATGAATTTTTTTCCCATAACTAGAAGTAGAAGATGGTTTTATCCATAAAAAAAAGTAGATGGCTTTCATGGAATAATGGAGACCCTCTGGGGTCTTTTTGGTACCCGAAAAACGAATGCAAAAATAAAGAAAAGATAGGAGAGATTACAAAGAAAAGACAATCTGGGGATAGATATTAAATGAATTGGCTCAAACTCAATACATAAATTTTAGATATTTTTTGGAAGTTAATGTATTTATATACTCATATCTGTACTATATAAGATTAAAAACATAGTCATAGAATTCGCTCCCTAAGCCGCGACTTCTGCATTGGTACGAGGTATACCCAATCGCAATTTGATTGCGATCCGATCGTAGCCGGTACGGAGAACTCTTTGATGCGGTACAACATACCAGATCAAGCTGGTACAACATACCAAATGCCGACTGAAATCGCCCCCAGCCCCTTGGTACGGCGAACTCTTTGACGCGGTACAGCATACCAGATCAAGCTGGTACAGCATACCAAATGCCGACTGAAATCGTCCCCAGCCCATTGCCGGCGGTACGGCTAACTAGTCCAATTTACGACTTTCCCTGTTCCAATTGGCAAGTTTCTTTTTCCCAAAATTGCGTAAATTGAGTAGTTCCCACTTCCCAGGCATGTATTGAGAATTCCACTTTCCAATGTCTTATTCAAAAAACTCATTTAATATTTATTTCAAAATTCAATTTACAATTAAATATTATACTAATACACACACACACACTAGTAGATTAGAATATTTAAGTTGAAGTTTTGTTTTTCTATTGGATTTTGTAATGTTATGCGCTTATGCTCGTCTTATCTATTTTTGTTTACTTATGTTTTGACTTTTGGTACACCGAACCGAATACATGGTAAACCGTACCGCTTCGTACCGAAATGAACTTACCCCCCTTCGTACCAAATTCATCACCTCTAGTGAATTTCGTACCCGTACCGAAACGTACCGCGATTTAGGTCACTATGATTAAAAAATATAACCATATGGAAAACATATAAAATTCTAATCAAAATAGATTTGTCATTGTATTTACAAATGTAGAACCAAACATTAAAAATTCATTCTCATCATTTTTTTTTGTTCTCTACATTTTTGTGGGTTCCAACGAAGCCCAAAAAGAAAATGAATTAGGGAAAAAAAGTAGTGCATTTCCTCACCCTAATATACACCCCCTATATTTGAAGACATCTCACATTCTAATCCAACGAGATTAAGCATTATAACAACTAGTAATCTATAGTGTGTGGAATACCTAAGGTCCCAAATATTGCACTCAGCCACTCACAACCACATGTAAACCCATTATATATATCAAATGACCTAATATACTACTCCCTATGAATAAATCTCCAAATCATGATGTATAATTGAATACCTCTTTTCCAAGCTGCACCATATTATCAGCAAGCCTACGAAGTTCCTTTGCCTACAATAACGCATCAAAAAAATATTATTGTTACAAAGCTTGATAAGGTGCACCTGTCAACCTATTCAAACACCCCCTCCCCCCCCCCACACCAAATAAATACATAAAAACTCATACTTTGCCTGGTTTACTTTGATTGTGCTTGAACTGGGAGTCTCTTGGAAACAGCCTCTACTTTCGGGTAGGGATAAGGTCACCATCCAAAGAACTTAATGTGTGTGGGATTTTACTGGGTTTGTTGTTGTTGTTGTAAATAAATACTCCTTTTCCCCAAAACAATGTTCTCGCTTTTCTTTTTGGACGTCCAAAAAAGATCTTCCCATTTCCATTTTTTAGCATATACTTTTTATTCCTTTTTAATAAATACATATTTTACCCTCAACAACCCACATATTTACTATCTCTCACTTCCCTTTTAGTAAACCAAAAAAGAAAACATATGTAAGAGCATATACAAAATTTTCCTTTCATTCATAATCTTTGTGACATTTTCAGTAAAGAATATCAGTTTAGGAGGGATGGAGTAAATAAAATGTCTATAATATTTCTAACCTAACAATTACTGCACAAATCACAATGAACTTAGCTAATTTTTTTTAATAGAAATCATTTTTATTTTATTTTTTTTACATAATGGGGAAAGAGGGAAACTTCATACCCAATCACAGGTCCTGCATTATAAAAATGATATGGAAAAATTAAAGGATTGAGTAAAATGAGAATTACTTTAGCAACAGTTGTCTCTATGCGCTCATGCTTGACCAACTGCGACACCATCGTCCTGAAAGAAGATCACGCCAGCTTATTACTGATTGATTACCCGAGTGAAAAGGCACAAAAAGGAACCAATTGAGTACGAACGAAGAAATACAGTTTAAGAAATAACCTGAGCATGGATACCCGGTGAGCCGCTGGGCGATTCAGCTTCCTAAACTTCGTCATTTTCGGCCAACAGAGCGATGAAAAACCCTACCACTCTACCAGAAGAGAAGGTTTAGAGGTTTGAGCATTGGTAAAGTGAACTGAAATTTTAGTAGTGAGGCAGGGAGTAAAGAAAAAGTATAGGGCCATTAGGGCCTAGTCAGGCCTACAGCCCCCAAACAGATCGATGCACAATCAAGTGAATCAACACATGTTGCCTTTATAGAGCCAATTTTGAATGAATTACTAAGGTCTGTTTCGGAATAATATTAAGGAAAAATTATCTCAAATAATCTCATCTTTTCGCGCTTTTTCAAAAATAATCTCACTTTTCACTTTCAACGGAAATAATCTCACCTTTTCGCATGTGTGCGAGTTTTGGGTCACCGTTAAAAAACTAACGGCCACTTAACGGAAGTTTTTGAAAATGTTTGTTTTTTGCAAATAAATGAAAGGTGAGATTATTTTAGAAAAATTTACTTTTTACTTTTTTAGTTTTGAATTTAAAATTAATATTTTTTAAAAATATAACAATACACTCTTGTTAGAGATTTGTCTAACGATTAACAAATTTTGTAGTGATTTATAAAATTTATGGGTTCCGTTTCGGAGAAAAAAATATTGTGTCATTTTCACAACTTTTAAATTACTATTTTGGGGAAAAATTTGTATTGAATTATTAAAAAATCACAAATTGGGTAGTTCCATTTTAGAAAGAAAATTTTATTGCAATATAAGATTATCAATAAAAATTTCAGAGTGTTCATGAAAAATTGCAATACATCAGAAAATGTAGTGAGTTATAAAAATAAAAGTTCTATTTTAGAGAAAAAAAATTTTGTGTTATTTTCACAACTATTGTAATGTTGTTTCACAAAAAATATTTATATAGAACTATCGAAAAATATTCATAAGATTTGTAGTGTCATTTTTTTAAGAAATAATAATAATGTAGTATCAAAAAATAATTTGAAGTGCAGCTCAAGAAAAATACAGTAAATGCAACTTACAAAAAAATGTACTCCCTCCGTTATCAAAAACACTTCCTCTTTCATTTTTTTCCCTTCCAACAAAATACTTCCACTTTCTATTAAAAAACCACTTTTACTCTTATTTTTTCATACCCTACCTATCACATCATACTTTATCCCTAATAATCTATCCATCACATCTTACTTTTACCTATCACATCAAGGGCAAAATTGGAAGTCAACTACAATTTAATACTTCCTTATTTTTACACAAAGTCAAAAGAGGAACACTTTTTCCAAACGGAGGAAGTAGTTAGTTATGAAGTTAATAAATTAGCTCTATTGTGTAGAATAATTTATTTTCTAATTATTACCATATTATTGGTTATTGAAAAAAACAATTAGTTTCACTCTAAAAACACTTAAATTTGGTATTTTTTCCAAAAAAATAAAATAAAAATACATTTAAAGAAATTAAAAAACGAAAAATGGAGAATTTACCTAAAATAATCTCACCTTTCATTTATTTGCGAAAACGGGCATTTTTCAAAATTTCCGTTAAGTGACCGTTAGTTTTTTAACGGTGACCCAAAACTCGCACACATGCGAAAAGGTGGGATTATTTCCGGTGATAGTGAAAAGTGAGATTATTTTTGAAAGAGCGCGAAAAGGTGGGATTATTTGAGATAATTTTTCCTAATATTAAAGATTAACGTTAATGTCTTGAAAAAAGTTATTTACGAACAGCGTTTAGCATTTTCAAAGTAATCTGTATCGTTAAAATTTTATTTAAATCACTAGCGCTAATCTCTAACGTTATACCAAATAGGCCTTTAATCTATCTTAATAATTATACTATTAGAGATAAATATGAAAAGTAAATAATATTCGTATACTCCCTTCACCCCAAAATTGAAAGTAACCCTGTACTCTTAGGTTTATTTTTTTTCTTACCTATTGTTTCAAATTCTTAACAATAAAATAAATTTATCATGTTTGAAGTAAACATAGAGAAAGTTTCATATGCTGGCATTATATATTGACATTATTGACATTGTAATTCCTATTTTTGAAATAAAAACATATTTTATTCTTAATTTAGTTTATTTTTCTAGTGATAATGTACTCCGTATAATTTTACTTTAGATTGCATATAAATATTGTCTTAGAATTTAAGAGTAAGATATTTTCAAAGTGCAATGTAAGACTACATTTTTTTTTACTTATTTTGTACTTTAACTCAAATACTTAATTATAAATATATATTGTTCTCGATTTATATTTAATTCTACATTTTGCGAGTAATTTTTATCCAAACATTTATTTTACAAAGATTTTATGCTTCACATTTTCGAACAAAATATTTATCACGCATCGCATGGATACAAATCCAGCTTACCGTTAAAATTTTAAAAAAAATGCAAGCTTTATCTTAAATGCAAACTTGTCCGTGTCATATAAATAGAGTGAAATGAGCCAAATGAAGTGTAAATTTAGCACCATCATTTACAGAGTTCATAATTTGATGACTTGTTTTTTCATTTAGTCAGTCTGAGTATATTGGGTTATGTCATTCATGGGTGAAGAGATTTAGCTGTTGGTCTTATGGGGGACAATCGATCATCATTAGGGATTCGCTACTGTGCTAGTCACGGTATCGGGTACTGACAGCCCAACCTGACGAGGTACACGAGTCGTGTATCTTGCGAAGCCCTTCCTGTCCATCCACCGCTCAGTAGTGGGGCTCCGCACTGCCGTAGTGAACTATAGGGGATGCCCTATAGGAATCTACCTCGGCTTGGGGCTACAGAGAGATGTGGTTAAATACAAAGTGTCCACCTTCCTATCACTAATTGGTTTTAGGAAGCATTTGGCACCTCTTTCTTTAACTTCAGAACTTTGTAGTTAAGCATTTGCCCTATAGGAATCCAGCTTACCGTTAAAATTTAGAAAAAAATGAAAGAAAAAATGCAAGCTTTATCTTAAATGCAAACTTGTCCATGTCATATAAATAGAGTGAAATGAGCCAAATGAAGTGTAAATTTAGCACCATCATTCACAGAGTTCATAATTTGATAAATTGTTTTTTTCATTTAGTCAGTCTGAGTATATTGGGTTATGTCATTCATGGGTGAAGAGATTTAGCTAGCTTGACTTCCATAAATATTACATACAGTACTCCATATAAGATACTAATCAACATGCATTTGAGGAACTCTACAATGGATTCATACATCATACAAACATTGAGAAAATCTAGGTCCTAAATCCTAACGGGCAATCCATAGTTGTGGAACGTCCTGATCTTCCCATCCCAACCAGCGGTTACAATAACAAGACCCCATGCCGGAGAAGACAATGTGCTGTTCTTCTTCTTCAGCTGTGGTGGCGGTGGATGAGGAAGTACTTCCTCAGGCCATGTGACGGAACAACCCCTGGACGAGATATCCATGGAGAACCAATTTCCCAACGAAAACCCTTCTGAATCCCGAAAAATCCTTGGATGAGTCATTTCTGTTGTCGCGCTGTGGCCCACGCCCAACCAAGGTATCGCAATGGAAGCACTCTCTGACATGAAATGCTCAAACGAACGCCCCTTGTGGTGGTGGTCCCAAAGATAAACCCGCGAGTCCTCCCCTACTGAAATTACATGTTTTCCAGTTGGGGTACACGCTGCCGACACCTGACTTCCTGATTTTGCAAGACCTGTTTTTCACTTCAGCATTAGTGGGCAGTTGGAGTACAGCAACAAATACTTCTTTCATTCAAAAAACCAAATGTTCTAGTTACATATCCTTATTGGTTTCTACTCCCTTCGTCCCATTGTGTTTCTCTAGTTTCACTTTTCGAGTCAAATATTATAAACTTTGAGTTTCAATTAAACAAAAGTTGTAACGTTTAAAACTATAAAAACAGTTTTATTTGATTTTATATTGTTAAGAGCTTTCTAAATTTTATTTTATTGTACTAATATACAATATAAATTAAAAGTAATTGAAAATCAAAGTTTGTCCAGTTTGATTTGAAAAGTCAAATTGGACAAATACACTGAGACGGAGGTAGTATATATATATATACATACCTCTGTATTTACAGACAACCTCACGTCCATCAAGAATGCGGATCTTAGAGTCCCCAGACGTGATCATAACCTTCTGAGGATCGTTCGATATAAACTGCAATAGAACGTTGGTATGTCGTTATGAGTATAGTGAGTAATTAAAAGGTTATGAAATGAGATTTTGTCGTGTTCAAAAATTGCAGAGTGCAATGGAATAAAACCTGAATGCCAGTAATTATGTTCTTGTTTGATCTCCTTTTACCACCAAGCTGCACCTCACCATCTAAGCAAAGCTCATTTCCTGGATTCAATGAAAGAAATTACTTAGAGAAACAAAATTTTGCAGTACATTATTATTGTTATTTTATTCTTTGATAAAAAAAATCAGAGAACGTTACCATGGTACGGAAAACGCACACCTGTTTCGTAGAAGCGGCAAACCCCAGATATGGAACCGGATATGAAACCCTGTACCATTAAGAAGGAAATGATAGATATTTAAGCTGTTGATTGACCTTTTTCCACTAAGAACAAAAAAAACTGAAGTGAATTGGCCACATACACATACCTTGCCGTTTGGCTGGTAACATATAGCAGTCACTATATCATGTACATCAGCCCAATCAGCAACTCGCTTTTCCGTCACTTGCCAAACACGGACTTTCCCATCGATGCACCCACTTATGAACAGGTTTTCATCAGCAGGATTGAACTGGACGCACGTTACTGGATATCAACATAAAAAGAATTCGAATCACGTCAATATAATGCCTTTCAGTGTATGAACTACTATACATTTTGCAATTCCTTGATTGCTTTAGGGAATAAAAACAAAACATATATAATTAACGAAGGAATGAACTCTGATCCACACCATAGTTATTGTGATGGAAGACACCGAGACATTCATCAGACCCCACTTTCCATAAGCGAACAGTGTTATCTTTAGATGAAGACAAAAGACACTGCAGTCAAACATAGCACAATGTTTAACCTCAAAGGGCATCAAAAGTATGATATTATTACTATTATTATTCACAAAATGTATGAGTTTGGTAGAGTAAATTAAGCAACAAGGGTCATTTGGCAGTAATTTCGAAAAGAGAAAGCGTTCCGTAAAATCGTATTCAGCCAAATCATATGCCCAAAGTCTACTGAAAAGCAGAAACAATCAACTAATGCTACCACTTAGTG